AATAATATAGCCCAATTTATAACATAATTATTTCGAATAATAACATAATAAATAAAAAAAAATAAAATAAAAAATAAAAAAAATTGCCGGCCGGCCGGCCGAACCGGACGGACCGGTTCCGACCGGCCGTCGGTTCCGGACGGCTTTCTTGCCGTCCGGCCGGCCTGTCCGGACACGGCCGGTCCGACCGGCCATGCTTTCCGGACGGTCTTTGAACCGTCCGGACGCCGGTTCCGGACGGTCTTTAAGCCGTCCGGACGCCGGTTCCGGACGGGCTTTAAGCTGTCCGGAACCGGCGGCCGGACACGTATTTTTTCATAAATTGTCTGATATGTTTAGAAAAAATGAGAAGGGCAAAATTGTCCAAGGGGGGCGGTGAGTAGTAAAAGGGGGGCGGTGAATAGTAACACCAATAAAAAAAGAACTATTAAGCTTTAATTTTATCATTGGGTCTGGTGAGTGTAAAAGAAAAAGAAGAACCATTGAACTTTAATTCTATCATTGGGTCCGGTTTTGTAACGCTAGTGCCACACTTCCAAAATGAACCAAGTTGGCGGGATAAAATTTTCCCCAAAATTCCAAAACCCGCCACTGAGAAACAACCAATTGGAGAACTCCTAAACCTGAAAAACACGGTGCGTATAATCAATAAGGCTCACCGGAGATATTCAACGGGCCCCGCAATAACATGGGTCGAAAAGAGGAACCGAACCAGCAACAGCAGCTAAACGCAGCAAAGAGGGCGTACAAGGCCGCGGCGGCGGAGGGGAACCGGCAGGAGGAGGCACGTTGGGCCAATACGATCGGGAACATACTCAAGAACCGAGGCGAGTATGTGGAGGCTCTCAGATGGCTGCGCGTGGACTACGACGTTTCCATCAGATATTTGCCGGATAAGCAGCTGCTCGCCACTTGTCAGTCTCTTGGTGAAGTCCACCTCCGCCTTCAACAGTACAATGATGCCCTAAAGTATCAGGTTAAAGAAGAAATTTATGGTTTTTAAAATTTTTAGGCACGTTGTACACCAAATCCGTTCCCCCCCCNTTTTTTTTTTCTTTTTTATTTTCTGTTTGTTTCAGTTTATTTTTGATAAAACATGATTTAATAGCAGGTGCCTGGTTGATATTTCATTTGTTTTGGTTGTTTTGTTGTCTAATGATTAAAGACATCCCTTGTTGAGTTAAAGGCGTTTCCTGAACGCGAGGTTCTCTTTGAACCATTCTTATATTTGCTTATGTTTATGTGAAGTTGGTCTTGGAAGTGCCACGTTTTTGGTACATGTGAAAGCCTGATCCTTAAGCTTATAGATGATGTACTTTTCTGTCTCTGCATTTAGAGAACGATGATATCCTGACCATTTGCTTTGTGATATCTATTTCTTTCTCTCCTTAATAAACATGTCTTCAATTTCAAATGCAATGCAAATATCAGGTTTCAAAATACCATATTTGTTATTCCCTACATAACAGATTCCATTTTTGTTCTTTTTCAATTTTAAATATGTGCAGAAAAAGCATTTAGATCTAGCTAAGCATGAAAACGACCTCATCGAGCAACAAAGAGCCATGACTCAGCTAGGGCGAACTTACCATGAAATGTTTTTGAATTCGGATGATGACCATACTGCAGTTCGGAATGCCATGAAATATTTCATTTCAGCTATGAAACTTGCAGAAACTATTAAACTGGATCCGCTTATGAGAGGTTCCTTTTTGAAAGAGTACGTTGATGCCCATAATAACATCGGGATGCTTGAACTGGATCTCGATAACTTGGAAGAAGCGGAGAGGATTCTTCTCAAAGGACTGAATATATGTGACGATGAAGAGTTCAGTGAGGATATTGATACGCGTAGTAGGCTCCATCATAACCTTGGAAATGTTTACATGGAGATGAGGAAATGGGTGAACGCCAAAAAGCACATAGAAAAGGATATCATAATTTGTAAAAGAATCATGCATCGTCAAGGGGAGGCGAAAGGATATGTCAATCTTGGTGAGCTGAATTACAGAACTCAAAGATATGAGGAAGCCATTTCATCATATCAGAAGGCTCTCGAACTTGCAAAATCATTGGAAGATGAGCATGCATTAGCAAATCAAATCAGACAAAATATTAGAACTGTAAGAGAAGCAATGGAAGTGATGACTGAAATAAAGAAAGAAGAGCAGAACCTTAAGAAGCTTGAAAGGATTACGGAAACTGCCAGAGGCACAGAAAATGAAAGGAAATGCTTAATGAAACAGAATGCATCACTTGACTGCCTTGTCGACAAAGCAAGGATGATCCTTTTATGGATAAAAGTATGTACAGTTTTTCTTTCCTTATCCTCCCTTCTCAAACATACACATGATTTGTTAGATGATGATTGGTGAAGAAGCCTTTCTAAGATATCAAGTGGTTGTCACTTGCTAATCCAAGGAGGTTGTATATTTTTACTTTTGTCTATTGCCTGCTTGCCAAATCACTGACATGTTGCATGGATGAATTATGCATAGTTTCGTGAATTTGGGAAAAAGAAGAAGAGGTTAGCAAGTGAACTGTGTGACAAAGAGAAGCTGGGTGACTCCTTCTTAATAGTTGGGGAGTCGTACCAGAAGCTACGTCAATTCAGAAAAGCCCTTAAGTGGTTCCAGAAGGGTTGGGAAACCTTCAAGTCGATTGGGAACTTGGAGGTAATTAATCTTACTAGACCTCCTGTATATGTTCATTTTCAGTAGGAAAAGTCTCCAGAGGAAATTTACATTCTGTAATATTTCCAATACTTTTATCATTGTTACAGTCTGTAGACTATGTTCTGTGATTCTAAAACTTTGTCTGGTAACAGAATATTGTGCATTTATTTAGTTTTGGAATGCTCTACCTGTAAGTTTTTATGGAATCTTGTTTCCTAAAACATAACGCTTTCAGGGACAAGCCTTGGCTAAGATTAACATTGGAAATGTTTTGGACTCAGATGGTGATTGGGCAGGTGCTTTAGATGCTTATCAGAAGGGGTACAGGCAAGTACCTTTACCTTTTGTTTGATGAAAATTATTCTCTTGTATTTGCATGTTCATTCATTCCATTTCCTATAGAATCCTACTCACTCATTTTAATACATATACAGACGTACATACTGTCTATTTCTATTTGGCACCTGCTGTTCCATCTTTTTTATCCTACTGTTATTTTCCGTATGGTCCATCTGTTAATGCTTCTTTCCTGCATTTATAAGCTGATACACTTTTTTTGTAATTGGTGCGCTACTTCGGATAAGACTAGATGCCTTTTTTCATTCTTATACATTGGATCTGATTATATACTCATACACATCCACTGATTTTTTTTTTTTTTTTTTANTAGAATCTTGAAATGAAAAAAAAATTAGAAAAAATGTGATTGGTAGTTTAACATATGAGCAGGGAATAGTGGAATTTGCAGGAAAACATTTAACAATGATTAGTTCACTTTGTTCTTTTCTGAAAATAATAAGTCAATGCGGTTAATGGGAAAAAAAATTGAAGTTGTGAAACCATGTCTTCTGAATAGTTTCATAACGAACTTCATTTTGGGGTCACATTTTATTTTTCTAGTGGAACAACATTAAGTATTTTTGTGCCCTTGCAACATTTTCTTTGAGAGAATATCCAGTTTTTCTGGTTCCAATCATTGCAGCCAAGTCTGCACAGAGACCACGTCAAATGAAGTCATTTGATTATTGCACAAATTGTTACTCAAATGTGATTAACTATTTATTTCTTTTATGACAGGATTGCCATTGATGGAAATCTTTATTCCTCGCAGATTTCTGCTCTTGAAAATATACACTATAGCTATATGATTCGCTTTGATAATGTTGAAGAGGCCAGGTAAAATGTGTTATCAAATTTCCCTAAGAATCAATTATGATATAGTGTGAAAGTGAAAACAGATTGTGCCTAACTTTTCTTATATTGCCAGTTTCAATATGACACCTTCATTTTTGTTAAGAGTGTGTATATAATCTATGGCTACTTTTCAGGAGAACAAAATTGTTGATTGACAAATTGAAACAATCCAAAAATGGAGGGTTTGAGCCTGAAGGTTCAAGGGACTGCTGTTCTGAAACTCAATTGGATAACCCATCAACCGATGACAGGTCTGATGGTGGTTTTTCTCAGGAAAGTGGTAGGCTAAGTCCTCTGGTTGCAAAATCTAGTGATCTCGATGAATTATTGGATGACGACATGCCTTTGGTATCACTGCTTCAATCCAACAGAATCATGGGAAAGCAGAAAACTATTAGTGGATTTGCAACCAATGCTATCACCAGACCAAGTGAATCCTCTAAAGGGAGCTTGTCCACGTCTGCTGGCAGTTTAAACCGCAAACGCATGCGGGTGATCCTTTCTGATGATGAAGATGAAAAGGAGGATTCTTGCTGTGAAAGACTGGTCTGTGAGCATCCAGTTGAAGGCATTGCAACTTCTGATGAATGTAAGCTGCAAATTATGCTTAGTTTTCTCTGAACTCTTAGTATTGAGATAAGATCATTGAACCTAGTCCCTTATGTTGCAGTTACCAGAAAATTTCCCAATTGTCCAGCGAATGAGGACCAGGTGATGTATAACTTGACAACTGAGTTATTTAGTTAATGATGTTTTCCTTCTTAAGCAACAGTTATATATTACTTCTTGTGTTCTATAGGATGTTTCACCAGTTGCCTCAAGATGTACTGTTGGTTCTCCTCTTGCCAATCTTGAGAATAGTGCTTGTTCCTACAAATCCAGAAGTTCTAAATTAGGCTTGCAGGACAGTAGACATTTTAGAGTTAATGGAACATGTGAAGCTTTTGTTAATTCTAAAGATCATGGAATGGACAACAGTGTCCATATGGACTCCAGCAACTTCTGTCAAAATAGGATTTCCAGCTCACATCTGCAAGCGTGCTGTGATAAACCTTGTGTGAGTACGATTATTGCTTTTACTTAGCTCGCCTGTAAATTTTTAATACTCATTGTCCTCTTGATAAGGAAGCTTGGTATGGTTAATATTTCTTTAGCAATTTACCTGCATACACCTAGACCGAGTTCCAAAGACTGAGACGAAACAAAACCTTTTGTATTCCATCAATATTTCTTGTAGTAGTGATATTTATCTACAAGTACATGGTTGGTATAATTGTCTATTGCTTGTCTACATATGTATTTTGTAACTAATGTTGCTGTAAACTTGAGGTTTTTCCTAATATTATTTTTTGTTTCACTTGATGCGTATTGCAGCAACACATCATTTTCAGAATTGATAATGAATCTGTACATATGGATCTCGATTTATATTGTACTGGCCGTAAACTTGACTTGGAAAAGCTGAAGGTTGAGTTGGCATGCTTGTACTATTTAAAGCTTCCCAGAGAAAAGAGATCAAGAGGCAAGTAGCAACTCTAGTTTCTTGATTTTAGTTTGCTTGTTTGTTGATCTTCGTCTGAAGTAACTAAATTTTGCAATGCTCAGTAATTTAATAATTTAACTGAATTGACTGATTTGGGTATGCTCATTGAGTAATGTACAAATACCATCATTTTATAATCCAACTTTTTGAAGAAATAATTGGAACTCTAGTATTTGCTAACTTTCTTAGTAGACTATGCTCTAGAAAAGTTATCATGAATTCTCATAAGTTATGAATTCCTCATATATTTGATTAAAATTACCTATCATTATTAGCTCTTTAAAGTGTGAAGTTTCGGAACTTATCTGCTCCTGGAGCTTTGATTTAAGAATGAGTGCCATGGCGTAGTTAAATATAGAGCCAACTTCGATCTCTTACTGCACTTTCCTATTATTTCACTTTGTAATACAGCTTTCAATAACTTAACTTATTTGATGGGGATGGAAGATTATTGATAAGCCGATAATCGATATGCTTAATCTTATTTATGAAGTTTCTACTTCAATAACCATGTTCGTTGCTGAAGATATGCATCAATAGCCACTGATAACGATGATTCTGTGTCACCAGGATTGGTGCCAGTCATTCAACACATGAAGTATGGGGAGGTGGTTCTTGAATCTATGGAAACACTTCTTAGCATAAGAGAGCATGCACAAGGAGAGAACTGGATTGAGGTTTCTGTTGGTGGTATGGTTTTGAGCCCAAATGAAGCCTTTTGCTGTCCAGCTACTTTTGATTTTCTTATACTCAGTACTCTCTTCTCTGTGGTCAATTCCTAGCTAGTTTGAATAGGATGTTGATGTCCAACGCAACTGAATTGAAGATATTAATGGCTTTATTTCTTAAGAATTAAGTGACTTCTGAAACCCAATTCTTGTGGAACAGGAGGCCAAAGAAATTTTGACAACTTAGAGCATGGTTACTACTCTTAAAACAGATCTTGTTGCAACTTGGATTGAGCATTCTTAAGATCTTTCTATTTTAATGCTATCATTGGTTAATTGATCTGGATATTAGAGACTGGCACTCGTTATCAATATTACCAAGTTATATATTCTTGTAATCCAACACCCAACTGCTGCTTTTATATTTGTAAATAGAACGAACGTGCCAGTTGCTACTAGGTTCTGAACATTTGATTTTGATCTTTTGGAAACACCCTATGTATAGAGTCGCATTATGGAGACCTAATATGCTAAAAAGTGTGCTTGTTATGGTAATTCCACCTATTAAAAACCTGGAATGAAGTATATTCTCTCAATTGACGCCTTCTCATGTGGGGCTAGGGTTGAATGCTTCGTTTCTTATGTATTAGGCATGTGTAGCTGAATATGTAGAATTAGAAACTTGAATGAAACTGAAACTATAAATTTTTTCTGCCTTTTTGTACTCAAGAATATACAAATGATTATGTTGAGTGTCAAATCATGATATATAAGCATGTTATCGTTAGCATTACTGTTTTGTCAAATGCACATGATGGACTATTTTGAGTATTCAATTCTGGATCTTCTATTGTTGATGTTTATTGTTTTATATAAGCTGAAGAGTTCTCAATACAAGAGAATGTATATCCTTTAGTTCATTTTGTCAAGTATATAATACCCATTGGCAAGTGCAATGCACGAAACAGAGCAGGTGATGCCTCCTGAGACAATGTGGTTCTCTAGAAAATTAATGTCTTGAGTTTTGGATATGTTTGCTATTTAACCTAGCTCACCATTTGTTTCATTCATAAAAGTTATGCAAAATATTCTTTGTTGATGCTGTCTTTTAGTCCAAATAGGAGTATCCATATAATTACTTATATTTTATAGAATAATTTTGTTATTGAGCACACTCAAAGATAGTCTTATTTCTCATGAGCAGTTATGGTTGCAAAACATTTGTTGAAACTATACATTAACTGCTGCGAGGAATTATCAGAGTCACCAAATTTGGATGTGGTTCAGAAATTGTATAACTTAGAGGTAAGTTCTAAATTAGTTGTGGTTCACATATCATGGACAAATCTGGTTGAAATGATACACGCATATGCTGACACTAGCACTAAATATTCAAGTAATTATTGTCATTTTTTGTGATGAACATTTTAACAGGTGTCTGAGGATGAAATTATGGTGTCTGATTGTCAATTGCGTGATGTATCAGTAGCACCATTGTTGAATGCTCTGCAAATGCACAAGACTGTTGCTGTTTTGGATCTATCTCATAATCTATTAGGTGCCTGTTCTTCATTCCGTCATCCACAAATGGTGATTATCGTAGTCAAAGTCTATCTCTTATCTTCATTTTTCTTGTGTTAATATTTTAGGAAATGCAACCATGGACAAACTTAAACAAGTATTCATATCATCTGGACAGAATTATGGTGGGTTAGTTCTAGATTTGCATTGTAATCAACTTGGGCCAGCTGCTTTATTTCAGGTTCGTGATTTTCTTACTCTCATACAGAGTGTTCATTTCTCGTAGTAAATATATACTTTGTAAGAAAAAGAAATGACTCCGTGAGAATTTGCAGTCAAGACTTGAGCATCCAAAAATCTGAAAGTTATAAGAAATTTTGGTTTTACTTTTTAGCTAGGAATTGGTTCTGTGGGCCTCGAGCTACCGAATATGGAAAGCATTGGTGTTTTATCATGATAAACAGTGCAAATTATTGCTTACACACACACACACACACATGAGTGGAGTAAGATCCACATCATGATTTTGAAGTTGCATCCAAACCCCAGAACGCATCTTAAGATTTCATATTTTGCTTGTAATCCTTTCAAATTATTTTGGGGCTGCCAAAGGGGATGAGAAACAGAATAGATAAAAATTCAGCCTAGAATGCTAACTACTCATGTCTGTGGTTAAGGTGCATGCGTAGTAAAGTAAAACTTTATTCTACTCCTTAAAATATCATATTAGGATAGAAAGAAATCTAGATGAATAATTATTAGATCTCAGTTTCTCCAAAGACCTATAACCTACTACTTTTTATTTCCTGTCTTTTAAAATAATGATTATCCATGAGATGAAGATATGGAGGGTTTGTGTCTGACTGGTGCAAGAAATGTGGATTAGATACTAGATTAATATATGATATAACCAGGTATAGGAAACATGAATACCCTATTGATTTTGCAGTTCCAAGTTTCAGGTAATATCTAATATTGTTTTCCAAGAGATGAAATAGCTGAACATTATTTTAGGATGCTGAAAGATTGTTTTGTGGTAATTTTAATTGTAAATTCTTTTCCTGTGTACAAGATGCAGAAAATATTGTAAGAGGGTTGAGTGTAAGAAGTTTGCACAGTAGTTATTACTATTATATTTGATCCTTATTGGAAATAAATATATGTAGTACCTCTTATAATTCACTCTGTTTGACTAATATGTATGATTTTCACGGAGCCTTGCTTCCCAGTGACTGGATGAGTGACCTGACATATCCTATTGTTCCATAATTCCCTAAAATATCAGATTTGTGAATGCCCATTACTCTATGCTCGATTGGAAGTTCTCAACATCTCTGGGAACAACTTGTCTGATAAATGTGCATCTTACCTGTCAACTGTTCTCCGGAACTGCAAAGGTAAAACTCTTGTTACTCAACTCGATATCCCTCTATTATTAAACGTACAGTAAGTTGTGTTGATTTGTTAAAGTTCTCCTTTTACTGATAGAAAAACCAAGATAAACTAAGATATCTCCAGTAATGTCCCTGTCAAATTTGAAATGAATTAAAAAATATCCATAGGCTGTGGTGGAAATTTCGACTAGTTCTCTTTGTCCTCATAGAGAAATTCCCTGCTTCGCAGCTCTATATAGTTTGGACATAGGGAACTGTTCAATCACATCAAGAACAATTCAAATGGTTGCTGATTCACTGGATTCAGAATCTGTACTTGAGCATCTTTCTATAGGTAGCTTCTAAAGTCTGACTTAATTTCAAGTTGATAACTTTCCTTTGCACTGAATAACAGTTCGGAAACTCTTCTTCTAAACAGGACACAATCAGTCTGTATCTGGAAATGCGTTAGTGAATCTTTTGACCAAGCTCGCCACTTTAAAACGGTCAAATAATTTGTCAATTTTATATTCCTACTGATGTGTTGTATTTTGGTGGGTACGATTCACAAATTGGTAAAATTTGCTTCTTACAGGTTTCAAGAGCTCAATCTAACTGGGATAAAAGTAAGCAAGCCTGTGGTGGATAGCCTTTGCAGACTTGCCTCCAACTGTTGCTTGTCAGGATTGCTGCTGGGGAATTCTTCTATTGGAACTGTGAGTTATTTGCCTTCCTTGTATTGCGGTCTATAGGTACTGTAGTACTACTGAGGGTATATTTTTCTTTCCGTAAAAAAGTTAATGCTATATGAGTTCTTTAAACCCAGAGATTTTGTTTCAGTTACCTTTGTGCTTAATCTAATCATTTGAGGATGCTCTCTCAGAAAGGTGCAGTACAGTTGATTAAGCCATTATCCAAGGACACCCAGGATTTGGTCAGACTCGATCTATCATTCTGTGGGCTTACTGGCAATTGCATTACTACACTCAGAGATGAAGCATCTTTGGTTAGCGGGATTCTCGAATTGAATCTTGGTGGAAATCCGATGATGAAAGAGGTTTGTTTATTTGTATTAACTTGCACATTTGAGAGTTGAGACTTTATTAAGCTTGAACAGACTTATTGTCCCTAGCCACTTTTATAGTCATGCATTATAAAACATATTTTACACAATTAAGCTTCAGCCTTGTCGCCTCTAGTGTTGAGTAAAGTTTCATCACAACTTGCATTCTTGCAGACTATATGTTTTCTTTTTTTACTCGATCATCTGGGTCGGGCGCCTATTTGTTTAGACAGTACATTTGATAAAACTGTCATTCCCAGAAGGAAACGCATAAGTTGGTTCTAAATTTTTTGCAATTAGCAGTGTGCATTTGCTGTTCATCTGAAGGTATTAGGATAAATGACTAAATGTACTTCCATGACTTGAGATGGCCACTTATCATTGTTAAGAACCTAAAAACCACATACATTTACAGGGATGCAGCCAGTTGGTATCCATACTCAGCACTCCTCAGTGTTCTTTTCGAGTTTTGGTCCTCTGTAAGTGCCAACTCAGCCTTGATGGTCTCATCCACATACTTCAAGCACTATCAGAAAATCATTCTCTTGAAGAACTCGATCTGGCCGACAATGTGGGTGTAAATGAAATCCAAGCTCTAACCGACATAGATGAAAACCAGCTCGAAATTGCCGACAGTGAAGATGAACTTGTAGATTCAGAAGCTACTTTATCCACCTGGAAAAATAACCCCATCCACACAACACCTGAGAAATCAGTTGCCTTTTCAGAATGCGAGCCCATACAAAAGCTTTCTGATTGTATAAAGATGGCTGGGAAGTTAAGATTGCTCAATCTTAGTGATAATGGATTCCCGCAGGAGATTGTGGAATTGTTGTTTTCTGCATGGTGCACGGGCGCCCGATTTTGTGTTGGCCGAAGGCACGTTGATGAAAAGGTTGTCCATTTCTCGGTTGAAGGGAAAAATTGCTGTGGCGTTAGGTACTGCTGCAGAAAGATTTGAGCACCGCTGGATTTTTGATGGCTTGAGCCGGAAAGCGTGACAAGAGTTCTGTTGAATGATGTATGAAACAAAAATTTCAGTTGAACTTATTTTTATTTACATCTGTGAGATGCTTGAAGATGTACACGTGAACCATGGATTAGGGTGACAGTAATGTATGTAAAGGTAGATTATTTATGTAATTTTATTGTTCTTATGTCGTCTCATCTATACAGTACTAACGTAGTTTTATTTAAGTCAGTGTTTTAAATAGCGCGGAATGCTATAGCACATTTTTATCCAAAACTGCACTTTCCATAAAAATGTATGCAGTTTACGCTATATTTTGCGCTATTTACGCAATTTACACTATTTAGATAATTTTTACTTTTTAAAGGCAAAAAATAAAAAATAAAACAATAAAATACAAAAA